CATATCTGATCTCTTCTGATATCAGAACCAGGCTAGGACCTGGTTCTTCTAAACTGGAGGCAAAAGATAGCAGCTCAGTAGACACAGCCACAGACGCAATCTATAAACCCAGAACAGCATATAGCACAGCTATTTCCATCTTGGGCCTTTATCACTTCATCTTCTATTTAAAAATACTCACGGTATTCATCTGCATATGAGCATCAAATACTTCTGAAACCATTCATATACTAAAAATCATAGACAGCTCTCCAAAAATCAGAGAGGAAGAGTATTAGGATACCCAGGCTAATGGAAAAATGGATACTGAGGAACAGAAACAGGACAGATATCACCCTGTTGGGTTTTTTTTTTTTTGTTTTTTTTGGGTTTGTTTTGGTGGTTTTTTTTTCCAAAAGGAGCCAGCCAAGGCCTAGGAGGGTTGGTATCGAAGAGGAGCTACAAAGCCCAGGCAAACAAGCCTAATGCCTATAGAGCTCAGTGGTCTGTGGGTTCAGTAGTGTGTTAAGCAAAGCAAGATGCAGAGATGCGTGCCCTAGATCTGCATGCGGGCAAGTCAGGTCCAGCACAATTAGTACTGTACACCACATGAAAGCAACTACAGTGCTTCCCAACCTGCTGATGGAGGAAGCAATATGGATACACCCCCGGTCCTGTGCCTGGAACTCAAGTGTCCAATGTAAAGCCACAACATATGTCTCTACACTGGCTTTACAACCTACTTACAACGCCATTAAAAGACCCGCGGATACCTGAGATCCATTTGCATTCAGCAGAAGCTTTCCAGAAACTCCTTAAGGCAGTAACTAAACCAATATTCCATCCTGACTATTTGCATTAAAAACAAATTACTTTTAAGAATGGTTACTTTTCTCAAATTAATAAAATAGGAATTATTTCAGAAGATACAGAATATAGCGTAACATTTCTGAAAAGAAAATAACAAGCAATATGAGATAAAGAAAAAAATCCCCTGTTAACATCTCTTCAAATAATTAAAAAATATTATGGGACACATTTCAATAGTCTAAGGTACCCAATGCATTCTTGAAATGTTCACTGAGTCTACTGGTGGGTCTGGAAATCAGGTGTTGTTATAAACACCTCCATTTACAAAAAAGGAAGTAGAAGCACATGAAGATTAAACACCTGATACAAAGCCATTGCAGTCACTAGAAAAGAATTCAGGAGGCACTCGATGAGAGCCTTAGAGATTGCTCAAGATTGTAAGGAAGTCCATGGCACAGCTTTCCATACAGGTCTTTTGTTCCCAGGCTATTGCAATATTCACTTATTTTCTACTCAAGTAGAATGGGCTGTGAATAACACAGGGTGTTTAATGACCCCAAGAGGCCTCTGCATCAGTCCCATCTCATCTGACAACGTTTACAGGGGCTCAGTCCTGTGGAACACACATAACAACATTAGCTTTCACTTTAGTGTAAGCTGCTAAAAATCTGCTGTGTCCCATCTTATTTTCCATGGTAGATTCCCACCAATGTTAAGTTTAATGTAGGGCATTTGTCAAGGTCAAAAGGCAACAGGGAGTACTTATGCAGGAACTGTGAGCACGTCTCAGGCCTCAGAACACTATTTTAATTGTAGAACTTACTAGAGTATTATTTAGTCACACTGCTAATACCACCCAGAAACAAATACAAATCCACCAAAAATCTGTACAGCAAGTTGAGACTGGGCCAACATTTATTTAATAGGGTTTCCAGAAGAGCTGCTGAAGGAAGTCCCCAGAGCTGCTACTGCCTACTCAGGTCTACAGACTGCGTTTTGGAGAGCAGATCCATTGTGCACCACAAAGATCCACTGACGCACCCAGCAGTCAAGCTGATTCCCACCAGACTGCAGAGAAGACAGAGCTTGTCTGGCTCCCAGGACCACCAGGAGATGTCCAGCGTTGCCTTCTGGTACACAAGCAGACAGTCGCTTCTGATTTCATCAAAAGCAGGGAATCTAATTAATAAGGTAAGAATTTCTCTATCCCTATGTACATACAGAATTAATGCCATCAATATAGCCTATGAGAAAAACTAAGATAGAAAAATTAATACAAAAATATTAAATTACAAGAAAGATCATGCTTCTAATGGTATGCAAACCAGCTTACATATTTCAGAAAAGACAAACACTCACTGCAGGGAAGAGTTTTTAGAATCATCCTCTTTCTTCATGAAAAAGACTGTATGGGTTTATTTAACCTGGTCAGGTAACTTTAAAAAACACCTCATCACGTCTATTCCCTTTCAGATTGTGTTTTAGCATTGTACTATTGGCATCAAGCATGGAAAATTTTGAACCTGGAAAAGCCTCCTTTCCCTTTAATGTCACACTCCCTTGAGAGTATACCATTATTTAAAATTCAATTCCTTCAATACATATTTTTTTTTAAAAGCACCCTCACAATCTGACAGGTAAAACCTCCAGAAAGTAATTCTTCAGTGACAATGTTCCCAAAAGGAATCCAACTTCAACTAAAATTTGAATAATGTGAGCAGGAAGGAGCTGGAAATGTACATTAATGAATAATTGTTCAATTCATGTGACAGGGATCATCCTCCACTAGAAATGACAGTTGCGCTGGAACGATAAAACTGAAAAGCAGTCTGTAAAATAGTGGTACCCCCTGGCCAGGGTCAGCATGCAGGATACACTTTTAACTTGAACCTAAAAAGTCTTCAATTCATTTTCCACCCAGCATCCTTCATGCAACACATCAATAAAACCTCTCTGTTCTGTCTTTTTGATTCAAAGCCTTTGTACGAGGAGTCATGAACCACGAAAAGTGGCTTGATTTGCAGTGATAATGAGGAAAACCCCAATTGCCACTGAAAGCAAGATGAAATCACCCTGATATTTAAGGGACAGCCAAACTGCTTAGCACCAGAGTAGGCTGGAAAACAAGAATTTCTATTTGCAAAAATATTCAAAGGTTTTCTCCCATATGGATTATCTGCTTAGAGGATCACTCAAGTCCCCTGCTCTCGCCAATTTGGGGTCCTGGTCACTTGGCTACACTCATTCAAGCTGACCAAATAAACGTGTTTTCAAGGGAATCCCCACTCCAGAACTACCAATTTGTGGTTGGTGAGGGCAGTCAGCGACAGGAGAGGGAATCAAGTTTCTGCCCTGAGCCATGCAGAGAAATTACTGAGATATTTTTCTACCAGCTCAACATGTCTGAATTTAAGAAGTCAGGCCTGAGATATCTTACCGGGACTTTGGGCTTTGTGCTCCTTTAAAACATTTCCATTGGACATTTATTTGAGAGAATGCATTTTTAAAATCTAATATGTAGAGAAGAAGGTACTTACAGAAGAAAGTTTTGTCTTGGACATCAAAGAGAATAAATCCCAGTACTGGCAGAGTAATGGTTCTCCGCAGTATAATGTTTGAGGATTCATCATGCTAGGGATAATGAAAGAATTTAACCCAACTTGTCCATCCAGGCCAACTCCTGCAGATTTGCTAAGGCATGAGGGGTCACAAGCCTCCAGACCTCTCACTAACACCTTTTTCCTATATTTTGGCCTCTCACTGTGACACAAATAACTATGGTTTCCTTCTAGCTGCTCTAAATAGGCAACATTTAGAGGGCAGTTGTATCAGCACAGAGGGTGTGATAACATCCAATAGTCAGGTGAAAGAGGAGACATACAGGAAGTGAAACTCATAAAAGGCATTTTCTGAAAAAGGAATAATAATGTGAGACTACAGAGCTCTGGCAAACACGCAGTGGTAAACTAAAATCCAATAACTGAAGGTGCCACATTTCTACTCATCCTCTCTATCCATCTGACAGCTGATCCTGACACAGCACAAGGGCATCTGATCTGCTAGTCAATCAGCTCCACAGCATGCCTGCTGCCAAATTCATGCCAAACCGCCAAATGTAAGAGGAGACTAAAAAATAATAAAGTCATTTTCCCAGGTAATATAGCAAGCTAGTGCATAAGAACCACAATATGCCAAAAATCCCAATTCCAGTGCCTTCATTTATCCACCCACACTTTCTCAGATGAAAAGCCCATCTCTGCAAAGCTTGTTAACACTGAAAAGAAAGCTAGGTCATTTGCACAGTGGTTTGGGAGTAAACGGTGTCATTATAAGCCAGCCACTTACAAAACAGTCAGGAAAAGTTGCAAACAGCTATATACACACACTTACAGATTACACATGTCAATCCTGGGAGGAGACAATGGCAGTAGTTGAAGTAGGAACTTTACTCCATTCTTCCACCCTTCCTCTTTCTCAAATTCACAGAAAAGGTAGGTACATTCATCTGCTGAGAACTGGTAGAAAGCATGACTGTCTTGAAAATAGAGTTGTCTGTCCACTGTTAGAAAAAATAACATTAAATAGCCTTTAAACCTTCATCACACAAAGGTTCCGTGTCCCCACCACATTCTGTATTACACTTGACTTTAATGCTGAGTTGCACCACCACATGGAGCTAAAGGATTGCAAAGTCAGCATAGAAGCAATGCTGCCCTCTCGTATTAACTCAGTGCATTCAAACAGGACAACCCCAAAACTTCAATTTGAAGATCGACAGGCTCCTGAAATTCAGGCATTAAGACTTCTGGGTATCTAGTCAATTTTGGAATCAGTTCAAAATTAGGGAATAAAAACCTTCTACTTGTCAGATTTCTGAGTCTCAATTTCCATTGGCTTCTAATCTGTTCTCACTAATGGCCAGGCAGTAGTAAACAAAGTTCAATAATGGGGATGCAGCCCTTCATTATCCCGGCTTCTCCTCAAATTCAGGGCTACTGGATTTGTAGACTAGACCTAGGTAAGATGACGTGCCAGTATAACAGCTGTCATCTTCCGTGGCATAACCAGGATTGAACTGGGATTGAAGGACAGGGTCCAGAGTCAAAAGCACAAGCTCCTGCTGGGAGAGTCATTGAGCCCTTGTTGAGGCTGCGTGATCAGACGTACTGTCAGAGTAGTTGGAGCAGAAGAAAACCTTTATGTATACTGTCAGCATACACAAGCAGAAATATTCCATAACGGCCCACCTTTTTGCAAGGAGCAAAGTTAAGTGTCTGGCACAGACCCCAGGGCAGGGTATGTTCTGAGTTGACCTACTGAAGCAGTCCCAGCTACAAAGTAAAATCCATCAGATTTCCAGAGGCTGGTTACCGGTGTAACTATTGCCAACCACATTAGCTGGACCAAATCCCTAAATTTGGTGGGGAAGGCAGGGACAGCCAGGTAGAACCTGACATGACCACTGTCTCAAGGAGCTGAATCCTCTCTCAATCCATTGTAATCTAAAACCATGAAAAACAGAGAGAGGAAGGGAAAATCACTGATAGCTAGAGAAGTCATCTGGCAAAGCCATGATCTGCAGTGAGTAAACAGCTGCTGTCTAGTGAAAAACCTAAAAAAGCCTGAGGAGAAAAAAAAAATAGGCTGGAAAAGACATGCACGCTATCTGCAACTTGGTTATAGGCAATTACATTTGCAAAAGCCAAAGGAGGGAAATCGCCTAAAAAAAAAAAAAATTCATCTTTGGTATTTATGAAATGAAAGGTCACAGAGGTGAGCCTACGGAAGAGATAGTAAAATAAACAATTGTCAAGAAAAATGGATCAATTTGCTTTTTGGTTTTTTTCTTTCCCGCCTTCCTCTCAAAAACATGAGTCTTATCCTATGCAGGAGAAACTGATAGCTCTCCTCACCCCACAGGTACTATCAAGACTGACCTGATAATATAATGCCCATATCCAGGAGGAGCTGCCACACTCCAACTGCTGTAGATCTGCACTTTACAAAAGGGCACTGCTCCAAAAGCCAGTCTACCAGCTCCGATCCAACACAGCTTCTCCTGAAAATACACAAAACATCACTTCTTACACTACAGTAATGTTAAAATGCTCTTTTATGATAAAGT